GTTAGTCTTATTCCCACTTCATCGGTAACTAGAGTGAAAGACTTACGTTGCGAAGAAGTTGTGCTCCCTCTCCATCGTGCTCATTACTTCTTTTAGTTTGTTCGTTCGGTATAGATCTTGAATGATACTTCTATAGGCCTGCCACTGCTCCTTCGTCGCGTATTTTGCTTGGCCGCTGGAAGCTTCGGTGTTTCGACCGACTTCACCAGGCGCTACGCTCGAATCAGTAGTGCCGACTTGGGCCGTATTCGCTGGCTGCTCCAAAGTGTTGTTTGGCCCGAAGACCAACAACGTGTGGCCATTATTTCTGGGTTCAAAATTCCGTGCCGAGTTACCATAAGCTGGTGGCCATACAGAAAACATGTCGACCGCTGGGTTGCTCAAGCTATGGATAGCGTGAGGCTTCAAATTTGAACAACCGCTCAAGGTTTTAGCTACAGGAAAAGAGGAGACGAAGTCGTCAGGTTTTTCATGATAGTCCACAACATCGCCGGCCGTGTTTGGATACGAAGCAACACTGCCAGATGATCGAGGCGGTCCATTCGACAGAGTCGCGGTGTACTCAGCCGGGTAGTCCGCATTCATGTCGGATTTAGGGTCTCTTGGGGGTATGGTAGGGAAAGAAATTGTCTCGTCAGGTCGGACGGACAGTTGAGGGAAGCTCGAGGTTGTTATATATGCACTTGAAGGCGAGCCTTGTCATTGCTTATTGGCTAACAACAGAAGTTCCCTGCACGAAGCACACTTGTCACGAGCCACCAATCATGGACTGCCGTGAACTTTTGCGTTGCTTGCATGCAGGTAAGCGAGCAAACCGCGTTTCTTGGTGTGGTCGGTATGGTTTAGTGGCGCCCACCCCATTAGAAAGACGTGTGATGACATCGGAGATAAGCTGGGTGCAGCTGACAAGATAGAATTCGCGCTCATATGTAGTAGAGAGAAACCAAATGTCACAACGGAGCTGCCTGGCGTTCTCTAACCAGCTGTAAGAGTTGAGCCTATGATCCAGGGCTCTGTCTAATGCGCAGACTTTTGACAGGCTGGTACCTAGGTACGTAGCTTTTGAAACTTCAAGCTGGTCCTATCGTTAATCTTAGGCCGTCGTCCCATTTGGTATTGGAGAGGACTAGCTTCATATAACCTACACCTTAAACTCACAACACGCCTTTCGAATTCAGTGCTTAGCGAATCACCCTTAGCAAGCTTGCCCAATGGAAATCGCAACCTTGACACTCTTTCATTTTCTCAAAGCTTAGTTGGGACTCGGGTCACTGGTAGGCTCCCATATGTTGACATATCAGCATGTTACCTAAGGACAAGCAAGAGCTGAAGGGACATTTGCTTACTTCACGTGGCTGCACTCACTCCTCAATATACCGAGGATGCTGCAATGTTGCCTAGACATCCGAGCCAGAAGCTCACTGATCCCTACCAATACAACTCCAAGAAAGTTCAAAAGCGATTTTACGACGATCTATTTTAGCAATCTAGATCTTAGAACAGCCTGCACAAGGCTTAGTCTCGACCGCAAGGCTCGCTGCTTTCAGTCTGATTCTTGATTATTGATCATCTTACCGAGGAGACTTTAGGTATTAGACGGTAGACCTGGAATCGTGAAAAGCTATCTATATACAAGGCACTGCGAAATTTTGATTTTGATCTATACAAGTAAGATCAAGCCCGTGCTTTCAATTTGAAAACCTGTTTCGTTACAAGCTATTATTTCTCCCATTCCATCACATCCGCGCCTGAATCCTCGCCTACATCAGTCCATTCGTCTGGATTATCGTCGGCCATTGGCTCGTCTTCGCCGGTGTCAAGTATATGTGCTGATCGTTGACCCATAACACCCGGTTGATCGCTCTGCCCCGAAGACTGCCCTCCACCGCCGTTGACCATCGGTGCCATCTCGGTAGAATTGTTGTTTTTTGCGCTTCTCTTGAAAAAGAAATCCCGTCCTTCATCCTTGTACTTCGGATTCAAGCTACATTTTGTCTTCTGGCTCCGGCAGTAACTACACGTCATGCCGTGCTTTGCCTGGTATTCTTGCTTTGGCATCCAGCATTCGTGAGGCGTTCGAAGACTTAGAGCTCGGCACCGGAAACAGGGGCTGGGCGCAAGCATGCCCCGTTCCGGATTCTCCCACTCCTTGGCTCGGCCTAGCTCTTTGCCCGTCCTGTCTGAGACGCCCTCGCCTTTCTGTCGCTTCGATGCGGGTTCAGTCGGGGTGGCTTGTTCTTCGCCATTCTCTAGAGCAGCGGGAGTGCGGACTCTCTTGGTTTTACTAATCGGCGCGCTGTACGGCGCGGCTTGACCCGCGTCTTGTGCCCCTGCGTTTGTTGACAGAGGTGGGTTTCCCGAAAGCTTTTGCGGAAGATGCCCAGGATAGTTCTGCCCGATATTGTCCGCCGCGCCAGGGAGAGAGTGACTCGATGAGGACGTTGAAGACATTGTGTTTCTCGGTTGCTCTGCTGGACTGGACGATAAGCTGAGATCGAGCTTGGGGTTCTGTGAGAAGGAAGGGGTGGGATGACCGACAGCATTTGAGGGCTGAGATGGAGCCTCATTCGGTCTCAGGGGAAGTAGCACACTGTGCATGACCTGCGAGCCGCGCATGATGTTGGAGCTAAAGAACTGATAGGGTAGCATCATAGTTGGACGTCCGTCTAGTGAGGGTCGTCTCAACAAGTGAGCGACAAGATACTGCATTCGTATGCTGGCGCAACGAGCCCAGTTCGTGAGGCTATCGGGTCTTCGTGACGCTACTTCAGCAAGCTGTTTATAAAGGGCTATGATCGTCCAGACCACATACTCCAGAGTCGGTGGAGTTAGTCCGGATTTAGCGTAACGATGTCTGACGTCTGCCGGCAAGCGCCAGGTGTGTGATGAAATCGGAAGCAGGAGATCATGGTATTCTTGGATACGTTGCACCATCGTGGCCCAGTTCTGGCGTTGCGCATAGAGGAATACATCTTGCGCTGCAATCTGAGACTCGATGACAATGATGGGAACGACACTGGTGGCTGTTTTGAAGTTTGGCTCGACGTGAAGCCTTGACTCCAAGGGATGCCAGATGTGGTTGAAACAGTGTTGTTCATGGGTGTCTAGCAGTTTGAACTCTGGGTGATCGTCCTGAGTCTGGTGGTGTGCCATTTCTGCGTTGATGGCTGTCCATAGTGTCAAAGGGGGTATCAAATCAGATTGTACTCCATCGCCGGCGGATTCGTCAGATGGAGGGCGATCCTCCTGAGGCGATGGGAAGGGCAGGGAAAAGTGTCGGGGAAAAAGCAGTGACGAATTATCTCTCAAGGCTTGAAGTGCCTGGCTGGCATCAAGCTCAAGAGATATCAGGTTATTACTAGACATGGTAGTTGTGTGAGTGCGGCTTAAGACAACAGTCTTCGGAAGATCTTGCTTGTATGGAACGAGAAATGTTCGAGGAATATCCGAGTAAACTTACGTGACATTGAGGACGAACACCGATGCTTCCTTTTTATGCTGATGAGTTAGGTAAGAAGACTTTCTTTCTCCGATACAACACCATCGTCGCGTCTAGTCGCGTCTGCGTATGCTCAGGAGTCGAGTCAGTCCTTGCGGGTAGGGGCAGGTACCCCTGATTGGACAGGCTGAGGCGTATCGAAAGCCGTGAATAGAGTTACCCAGACGCGTTGAGACTCTGGTAGCCGTTATAACGCGGCGTTTTGGTGTCTCGGGTGTCTTTGGTAGACTGAGAAAAGGCCAGCTCGGGGTTGCTGGTTGGATGGTTCCGGAGATAGGTTAGGGTTCATTGTGACGAGCCTCAGCTGGTGACTCACGCCACGCTGTATCCGATTATTTTCACCTCCAAGTCTAAGGCCGATATAAGATACCCGCCGAAGTATTGTGACGCAAGCGTTGTTTGTAAGGACAGATCGTGCTGGCAGTACAAGGGGTGACTTCGCGGGTGTGGGTGTCGTGGGCGGGCTGTGGAGGCGTGCCGAAGATGACTCGGGATGCTGGGCGTGGGAACACACCAGAACGAATGTCTCTACAACGGTCATGGCTATTCTGACTAGTAACGCAGAGTTGCGAGCACACTAATAGATTAATCTCACTAAGAAATGGAAGGCTGGCATGGCTCAGCCCTGGCGATAAGTACCGTTGTGTTCAATCCAGGGGCTGGAGACGTTTCCCCTGATGTTACACATTTGGCTCAACACGCCCTAAGATTCGTCTCTATTGGTACACAGCTCACAATGAGGACTATGAATCGGAGAAAGTGTGAGTGGAGGTGCGGTGGCCCTCCCTTCAAGTCTTCCGCCTCTAGGCTCAGGGCCACACGCCACAGCCCAGATACCTCAGGTGGGTATGCCTGTAGACATCAGACAGAGGCGGATGGGGACCTTTACACGGCTTTCGGGGCTCGTCCTGGGATTCTCAAGCGTGACTGGTTCAAGATGGTGCTGGGAAAGGGACTCGAGGGGGCGCAATGATGGGATGGTTGGTGAAGAGCGATCGTGCTACAATGTGTCTGTCCATTTGATGCCGCAGACATGCCTTTATTACCCAAGTAGGAACAAAAGTCTGGCCGTTTGGAAAGTCTCGCTTAGCAAGGGCCGCTAAGAAGCATCCAGATTGTTTGGCTTCAAAGCCCTTGGTCATCGAGGGCGAAAGATTGTCTGAAAATGAGGGCGCAAGATAAACAGGGGGGACTGAGTGCTGATGCACAGAAAGAATAGCGATATCTCCTCAGGCACTTAGGCAGCCAGGTGCATGTTTCAGGGCACCCAAAACGTCTTCTAGCACTTGACGGCGCGTGTCTTAGGGTCGCGTGGCTCTAAGAGGCTCCCGCTACACGTGTTTTGCCGCCCGCAGGCACGTAAACGAAAAGACTGAGCATTGTTATCTACCTTCCGACCGAATCTGTGCCTTGCCTCGAAATACATGATAGTGATGGGGGTATCGTTCTATTTCCACATCTTTACCTCTCCCGAACCACGACTGACATGACTCCTCGAGCATCAAACCATTTTGTACTCGTGGAGAAGATCTCCTACCCAAGTATTCTCCAACTTATGCCAGAAGAACTGCCGCACCCTCTCCGGCAGCCAGCCACCGAACGGCTTCCCATCCCGAAGCTTGAGCGTCGCCTCGATCAGCGTCCGCACATCGTATGTCGAGCCAAACACCTCCGGAACACCGCGATCGACGTTGAGAAGCTGGTACACCGACTCGATCGCGGTACGCACAGAGTATTCCGTGGTGAAAATCGTGTCGTGTGTCGTCTCTGCGAACTGCCCGATGAATGCGAAGTTCACGGCACCCTTTGGCACAACCGCAGGCCGGTCACCCGCCTGTCGAGGCATGAAGAACGCCGTGATGTAGGGCATCATCACAGGAACGCACTTGGCGCCCGTGGCGGCCATCTCAGCAATCTCGGCCTCCGGCACGCCCATGTGATAGAGCAGCTCCTGCGTGATCTCCTCTCCATTGCAGTCTTGCATCGGTTTCTTTATGTAGTCGCCTGGAACATCGACTAGCAAGCCGTAAACCCACATCACCATCTGGTCTTTGGGCTGCGCCTTGAAGTGTGGCTGGCGGTTGACAGTCCAGCTGAGCAGCCAGGCCGAGTCCTGAGCAGTCACGATACCGCCTGTGACGACCTTGCCGCTGAACGGATCCCGCTTGCTGATCTTCTGGATATAGCTGGGAATCCGCTTGTCGAGCGTTGTGACCGTGGCTGACTGCCACTTCGTCTCTGGGATATGGGCACCAAACACGTCCGGACGGCCGAACGATGGGTCTTTGGCTGCGATTTTTCGCCATACTTCCCAAGCTGGCGCGAACTTCTCGTTCAGCTTCGCTGGCGTGTGGTGGTCGCCCAAATCCGAGTTCTCCGTCAGCGACCCGATCGTTGTAAAGACAAGGTCGTTCTCCGTCAGCTTGACACCGCCCTTGTCTCCGTTCTGGATCCAGTAGATGTACGTGGCCTGCTTCTTGCCCTCCTTCTCAATGGCAAAGTCGATGTCAGTTACCTCCGTGTCGTACTGGAACTTGACACCCTGCTTGTGCAGCCATGTCTGAAGAGGCAGAACCAGGGACTCGAACTGGTTGTACTTGGTGAACTTGAGAGTAGAGAAGTCGGGCATGCCGCCGATGTGGTTGACGAACCGGTGGAGGTACAGCTTCATCTCCAGCGCGGAGTGCCACTCCTGGAAGGCGAACATGGTGCGCCAGTACATCCAGAAGTTGCTCTGGAAGAACTCCTTGCCGAGGACCTCGTTGATGCGCTTGTTCTCGACCTCCTTGCGGGTGGCGAGGAACAGCTTCATCAGCTCCTTCTGTGCCTTGGATGTGAGGGTGAAGGTCATGCCGGTGCCGGCGGGCTGGCCCTTGTTGACCGTCGAACGGCAGAGGGAATAGTTTGGGTCTTCCTTGTTCAGCCAGTTGAACTCATCTAGCACACTGGCGCCCTCGACCTCGAGAGAGGGGATGGAGTGGAACAGATCCCAAAGACACTCAAAGTGCTCTTCCATCTCTCGTCCACCGCGGATGACGAACCCCTTCTCTGGCACCTTGTTTCCATCGAGCGCACCACCGGGGATCTTTAGCTCCTCGAGGATGGTGATGTTCTTTCCCGGCATCTGCGCATCACGAACAAGGAACGCCGCTGTCGACAGGCCCGCGAGGCCCGAGCCGACGATCCATGCCGTCTTGTTCTCGACACCTTCCGGCTTCTTGGGCCGGGCGAATGCCTCGAAGTTGCCGTGGCTGTAATACATAATATGATATGATGTGATATGATTGGTAGGTAGGTATGCGGGTATGTTGTGTTTCTTCAATGATGTCTATTCTTCAGAGTCGCAATGACTTCATCTGATGCTGTCATGTTGCATTCGGGTCAATTGACCGCGACAGGCGGCGTCGTCACTGACGATTATATAGGCCATTGTCGCGATTCTGCAACTTTCCGTGTAGAGCTACTTTTCTCCTGATGTCAGGATCCCCAAAGCGCGCCCAGAGCCTTGCCTAGGTAGCTGGGTAGGTGGTGCTCTGGTGAATTGCATGACTATAAATGGGTCTCGGCCAGCCTGTCATTCCATTCAACGAATGCATTTCGTGCCTCGGCCCCGGGGGCGCTGCTAGCTTCCTCCAGCTTAGCCGCTGCACCGAGGCTGCTTGCAGCCTCCTTCGAGTGCATTCCAGCGGCGGGAGCTAAACCTCGTGCCCTGGAGGAGCCCTAGGACCCCTAGTTCCTCGTGTCAGTAGCCGCGCCAGGACCCCTAGTGGTCGCCGGAAATAGATCCCTGAAGCGCGGCCTCGGGGCATGGCGTGACGGCACATGCTCGCAGACACTCGGGGTCACATGCGCCGAAAACTGTCTTGTTCACAGTACGACGCCTGCCGTGTTAGCGTGCCCGAATGCCCTCCGGGGCTTCCGATGCATTCATCATCCTCGGAACCGATGCTGCGGCGCCGCGTCGCATAGGGGGTCCTTCTCGCCGAAGACCGACCAGGGACGCTCAAATGCCCAGGGGACAGTCTCCATCAAGCTTCGTCTAGTCTAGTGTTGTTCGTAGTTGTGAAATGGATTGTAATGATGCTACTGAAGAGCACCACTGGCCCAGGGCTACCCACATCTACAATCTCCTTTCCTAAGAGGGTTGCGCATTTTGTCTACCGCACAACATCATGATGTGATGTGCTGTACACCTACGGTGCATGACAAATACACTTGTAGTGCTCTGATCATCCGGTGTTCGTTCTATCACCATGAGCCTCGATGGACAGCGGAGACCAGTGGATAATCAGCGATTGCTCCAGTGACCAAATCAAGGCTTACACAGAAGCCTTTTCCCAGTTATCGAACTGCTTTAGCAGAGGATTTGGTTTCCTTCTGTCCCCTTTTTTGTTTCTTTTTTTCTCTCTATTTTCCTCATCGTGATAAGATTCTTATTTGGATCTGAGGTGGTGAGAATAAACTTTCCCGCAAGTTGCACTTTGGTGGGCCCACGCACAACCACTTGTCCAATGTCTATACAAGGGCATTTGGGCGTTTTGCACACCACAATATGAGCAGCACAAATGGCAGTGCAGCCCTGACAATGCGAGAATGTGTATGGCATCGTCAAGAAAGTAACAATTCAATGCCCGCTGGCCTGTTCATGGAATAATGATGCAAAATCAATAGTTGTCATCGCCAAAGATTTGGGGGCGGCAGCGCAATGGGCAGTGTTGGCCAGTGTCTGACCAACATGACTGAGCTTTAACATCAACGCATAATGGCTTGCCTGGAGGATGAAGCAACAGCCACTGCTGTCCAGCCAATCGCAAGGATTGTCACACCTGTCTGTAGAGAAGACGCGTAGTCTCATCGATCTCCGGTTCAACACGATAAATAATCATCATCATCAGACAGCACTATCTTTTCTGCATTGCTATTTGCAAGCAAAAAAGGCCTGTCATCAGTCAGGGCAATCCTTGCGTGTGAGAGCGAACAGCACAGAGTGTCTATCGGGAAGATGGACGCTGGTCAAAGCGCTCAAGATAGCGCTGAGGGTTCATCGGCAGCCAGCGGGTCTGCAGGACCACCTTCTGACAACCAACCGCCGCAAAATGCACTTTTCGTCTATAGAAGCTCTCATCCAGGCATTGCGAACCCTATCTTCGAAGAAGCCGCCACCGCACAAAGTCAGGCACATGCGGGGGCCGAGCAACCCGAGTCGAATCGTATTATTCATTATGGCGTGTGCTGTGATGGCATACATTGCGAGAAGGCACCTCCTACGAACAGCGAAGCTGACTTCATCCATGGCCCGCGATTCCACTGCATGGTATGCAGCAACTTTGACCTTTGTGAGCGATGTGCCACCAGTTCACAGAGTCCCCACGACAAGTCGCATAGCATGATCAAGTTTGCCAGGCCTAAGAACAGGATTACCGTCGTCCATGGATCGGACCCCAAGGCTGTTCGGGAGCTGCTGGAAGCCCTACAACAGCGCGATGTCTGCTCTCCGATGGAGTTCCTCGAGTACTACTCTACGATGACGGCCGACCAGCAGAAGGGACTTATGCAAGCACTGAGGAGTCTCGATGAGAGTGAGCGTGGATTATTGATGCAGTACCTCATGGCTTTGGAAGCTACCGACAGACCGGCCTTCTTGGCTGAGTATCAGTCGTATGATGATCTTTCAGAGAGAATGTCATATCTACGCATAGTCATCGGCGCTGAGTTGGTCGTGTCTTCCGAGCTTGAGTGCTTCGACCACATGAAAGTCGATTTAGACAAAGTAGAGGTACCTGAAGGCAGGCTGATCTGGTACAACATTCGCAGCCTTAAAGGTAATGTTGTGCTCACGGTGGAAATGGTGCCTCTGACTGAGGCGACGAAGAAGCAGCGCGAAAAGGGGTCTCTATTTCATAAGGATGCCTTCTTTGGACGCATCAAGCACTTTGAGTACCCTTCCGACGATGGTCTCTATGACGCTTGGGCAGCTGGCGGGCTGGCCACTCGTGTCCTAGATCTGCTGCCGGGAGAGAACAATGATGATCTGAAATGTTCTATACGGCCCATATTATCGATGGGGTCCGGCGAATTGCTTCCCTATGAAGCCTTGTCCTACACTTGGAAAGAGACATCATACGAGCGCAGCCTAAATGCCACTCTCGATCCTGGATACGACATTCCTCTGCGCAACCAGATGGAGATTCTCCACAAGGTGTTCTGCGATGGAGGCTATCTGGAGATCGGGACCGGCCTTCGTGACGCCCTGCTTCACCTTCGCCATCCAACCGAGAAACGAACTCTGTGGGTAGACCAGCTCTGTATCAATCAACACAGCCTTGGTGAGCGAGCGCATCACGTCAGTCTCATGAGACATATCTACAACCGAGCTAGACGTGTTATTGTATGGACGGGTGAAGAGGACGAGGATTCAAAGAAAGCTTTTCACCTAATCGCTGCGCTTGCCGGAATGTCACAGGCAGCCACGGCATCATCCGATAATGAGCCACTGGCAGTACCGGCCCGTGACTCTGCCGAGTGGCTGTCTCTGTACAAGTTCTTCGAGCGCCCTGTTTTCACACGCGGTTGGGTGGTTCAGGAGATTGCGTTGGGTCAGAGAGTCACCGTCAGGTGTGGCAAGACCGAGATCGACTTCGGCGCTGTTGCAGATATCGCGGCAATGCTATCTCAACCATCATGGCAACTAGTTGGCGAAAATCCTAAAAAGAGGAGTAAGTTACACCTTTTCACTTATATTAGCGAACTCTCATCATTTCTCATCATCTTGTTGGTGATAAAAGTTACTCACAAAATGTAGCGTCTGCTCTTCACACGTACCTTATTGGCCTCCTGCGCAAGAGGATTCATAATTGTGAATCAATGACGCTTCATCAGGTCCTGTTTGAGACATCCAAGTTCGGAATCACAGAGGAGAAAGATCGCATTTATGCCTTTCTTGGTCTGCTGCAGCGAGTAAAAGGCTGTGAGGTTCACATCAATGACTACGGCATCCGGCCCGACTACGAGAAACCCGCAAGAGATGTGTTCATCGAGACAACGAAGGCAATCATATTGCATGATAAGACACTTGATATTTGTGGCCGGACTGGGATCGCAGGCTCGGGTACTACGAGTGCTGCCAAGAACCTCCCGTCGTGGGTGCCCGATTTGGGCGACCAGAAGGAGCGTATCTATTTCTCAGATCCGGGTGTCTGCTCGGCATTTCAGGCAGCCAAATCGATGCTGCCTACAGTTTCTTGGCCCTTCGACGAGCGACAAGATGTTATGAAGTCGCCTTCCTATATCATCGATAGTGTCTCCACCGTGTCACAGCAGAAACACATTAACCAGGCCGGGATCAAGGCGTCGTTCCTGGAGTGGAGTCGAATGACGTCTGTCATAGGAGAGAGCTATCCTGGAGGTGGTTCTACTATGCAAGCTTTCTCGCAGACCTGCACTGCCATCCGGACGGCCATACCTGTTACCATGACCTGGGACAATCTATTCATCGGTTTCATCTCTTTCTTCGCGGCGATGGCTGTTCTGCCCGACGAGGATGGAGAGAAACCAGAAGAGGACGATGCAGATATGGCCGAGAACCCACTAGCTTCACAAATTACCAACACTTGTTTTCAAATGTATAGAGACAAGCCAGAGCTTACTGACCCAGCGAACTCGAGCTCCGAGGATTACATCACGGCAGCGCAACATGTGATAGTGGCGACGACGCCCCATCGAAGATTCTTCATAACCAAGAAGGGGTACATGGGGCTGGGCCCCGTGTGGATGCAACCAGATGATCAAGTGGTAATTCTACCGGGAGCACGGGTACCATTCCTTCTGAGAAGAGCAACCAATCCTGTTCCGTTGGACCTCGGCGATTCGGTGTATCGCATGATGGGGGAGTGTTATGTTCACGGGTTTATGGATGGGCAAGCATGCGACGGTCAAGCGTCGTCCTGGCCTAATGTTTTCATATATTGAATCTCCGTCTAAAGATACCGGAAGGAGAGTGATGTGGCGTTTTTGGTGAACAAATACTTTCACAGTGAGCAGACATCAAACGCCCTGTTTCAGTGTTTCTGTTTATTGAAATTACGTGACCTAAATCGCCGCCAGATGTATGTGGACAGCCTGATTAATTTCCGACTTTCCACAAATCACATATTACCTCAGGTCGGCAATTGAGCCTGCGGGCTCCAGTCAAGTCTTTCCTAGGTCTGCCGCATATGTAGGCAAGAGAGAGTTGCTTGACCCCGAATGCTGACAATAGGCTTGGATGATGCGTTAGGAACTTGATGGGCCGCTCCTATCACGAAGATGATTTGCCAAGCAGTATATGCCCTTGCTTACCCCAGATTCCATCGTAACGGGATCAGACATGAACCTATATCTCCTTCGCATTAAGATCTGAATTAGCAGTATCGGCTGAATGCATACGAACAACAGAACCAGGTGGGCTCTTGCTTTCTCTTGAATCTAACTTTGAATTCGATTCGAAAGCATTGCTTACTTGATGAGGCAGATGGCATGATAGAAAATTTCGAGCTTTTCATTATTGCGCTGGCTATAAAGGATAAACCGGTCTACACCCCTTAGATCACTTCAAGCCTGACTGTGTCTTGAGTTATAACATTATTCGCCTTCATGACCTTTCAATAATGAACCCATTCATTGTATTTTTACTCTCTTTATATGTGCCAAGCAGTGCTTCTCAGGAGGCCGGTGGCCAGCAATCACAGCCCATTCTGCTGGATAAGTCAGGCGGCTTTCAAATAGGTGGTAAGACCATTTCTGACCCGAATTTTCCAAACGCAACCTTGTCGTGTGATCATGGATACATGGAGTAAGTTCTACAGTCTTTTGAATTTGCAGTCGGCGAGTGTCTTACCCACCCAGAGAGTGCCAAGTGTGAGCCGGTCTAAGTTATTCTTGGCCAAGAAAGCTATAGCTGATGAAGTGGAGCTAATTAATAACGCGAAGATATTTCATACCATGGAAGCCACGAAGCAGTAGCCTTGTAATGTGGCATAGCTCGAGCACTCAGGTTTGGCAGAACCGCTGGGATGGTGGCGAGGGTTATAAAGACATGTTTCTTCGACGAGGCTATCCGGTCTACTTGTGGGACGGGCCACGAGTAGGTCGTGCCAACTGGGCATGCAGTTCGACTACTTATGTTCCCCGATACGCAGATTCGGGCAATTTCGCCAGCTGGAATTTCGGTCCATTCTTCAAATACTTCTGGCCAGACGTGCAATTCCCGACGCAAAACGATGATGCATGGCAGCAAGCGACCGCTGCCCGATATGTCGAGTACGACACCGCTGAGAATGTCCAATTACAGTCAGATGCAGCAGCAATAGCTGCGGACTCTGGAAAGTTGGGGGAAAACATCGTATACCTTACAAATTCGGCTGCTGGGCTAAGGGCTTTGATGACGGCGGTCAAGAGCAATACTACCAATATCAAGGGGATAGTCATGTACGAATGCATTGGATATTTATATCCTGACAATGCAAACATGACTGCGGGGCGTGGTGGCTTTGGACCCTTCATAGTTCCCCTGAGAGACTTCAAGAAACTCGCCGACATCTCAATCCAATTTGTATGGGGTGACCACCGGTCAGAAAATTACGTATATCTGCGGCAGTCACGTCGCCTAGCCAGCCTCGTCAATCTTTATGGCGGAAATGCACAAGTAGTGCAGCTCAAAGAAGATGCAGGGCTGGTAGGAAATACTCATATTCCTTTTGCAGACATGAACAACGACAAAGTAGCCGGACTTCTTGACAAATTTTTACACGAGAACCAATTAGACGAATAGACGATATACGGAGACAGCACCCTAAAAGAACGAGCAGTTACAGAGTCAACCTACTCACAATTATTGATGTGCTGTTTTTTATGGTCAAAATGCGATGGAGTTTCCCAGGCCAACCAATCCGCCGTTTGTGATGAGGCGCCATTTGGAACGAAGATCAAACGTGAAGGATTGCGCCCTTACACTATCCCCAAACTCAAGCTGCGGACAATTGCAGGGGTTAACACAGCCTCGTAAAACACCAGAACCCATGGCTGTGCATACTCCTGCTTGAAATGCGCCCCAGCGCAGGCAGCCGTTCAATGCCAAACTACATTAAAATAAAGGTAGTAGACAACGTAAGAGGCCATGAGTGTGCTTTTGTAACCCAAATTCGAAAGCCATTCAACTGTTGAGGAGATCAATGGGCGTCGCCTCAGTTGGTGAAGCTGCCACAACCGCAGCATCAGATGTCGCCAGTTCCGAACTCTCATCGGATGTCAAGATTATCTTGATTAGCGTGATTGTCGCTCTTGTCGTGCTGGCGATTATCGTGTGGGCAGTGAAGAAGGGCAACAAACGCGAGACGGACGAGAAGGCAGCAGCTAGTAGCAAGAACATATATTCATCGTCTATCCACCGAGATGCGGCAGTACCAGATTCGTATATGACTGAGATTGTCAGAAATGATAAAAGAAGCTCATCACACAGCATCACAATTTCGATCACAGACCATGAATCACAAGACACGCGCGCCTTACTAGCGCCCGAGAGACCAGCCATCGACAACGATCTTCCTTCTCCGCTTCCAACAACACCGCAACCAACAGCTCAGACAGAACAAGGAGTGTTTCGATATTGCTAAAAGCTTGCCAAGCTGTTCGAGGTCACAGATGATTGAATGCGAGGGATCTCAAAGCATCGACTGAAAAGAGAAGCATGGGATGCGTTGGTTCTTGGCGGCATTTCAACTAGGTCATATCATGGAAACGACTTGTGTGAAACCAATTTCGTGGCAATGGCAAAGGTTTACCCCGGGTAACTTGCGAGGCTTTGCATACTACATTCTCGAGTTGAGCGCCAGAAATACCGGGCTGCTGTTCCCGCTCTTATCAATGCTTGCACGCCGAGAATTCAGTTGAAATGATACTTCAATTTGGTGAAGACATCTCGATCAAGTTTCATGGTTAAACATTCAACTCTGATTCATTGGTTGGACTGTGCAGATAGATGGCCCCGCCTCCATGTATTCCTCGGCCGCTGTCACTGTTCTATGAGTTCATTTATATCAGTATTGTTCGTTGGACTTCCTCCTGGGAAGGTCGGCTATACTACCCGAACAACAACCAGACCCACCCCCAAGCCTCACAGTATAGCTAGCCGTACCTAGGGCCGCCTATTTGGGGTAATAATGGGGCCGAGTTGCAAGCGAACAACATTCGGCAATTGAGTCTCGATGATGGGTATCGATGATTCTGAGTTGGTAAATTTCGCCGTTCTCTTTACTTTACTCTCTGCATGCATTATGTTCAAGAACGCTGCATCCAATGAAATCTATAACCAGCGCTTCATGATTTTGCGCATAGTCTGACACATGAGTGGCGATATGAGAGGGAACAGCAGCTGATGTGATGTTCGCCGCAAAAATCTGGCGAATCCTTCCGTTCGAGTGCCGACATATCCATATTTCTGAAATATAATGCCATGTGTGGTGCTCCTACCATCTGCCGGTGAAATTCAATCTGGTTAAGTGCTGGAGAATTTGCCGTCTTCATCTCAAAGCTTGATGTGATTGGACGGCACGCCTTCTGAACTGCGACCTCCGAGAAGTCTATTCCCTACCTTGGTAGCTCACATGCCTCGATAACGGCGAAAAGGGGATGTTGCTGATTAAAATGGCAACTATCGGCAATTGAGGCCACTAGAGTCAAGGCAGATGCTTCGGGGTTGGGAACCAAAGATAAAATACCTCAGTGTAGTCCGCCATGGTGTGGATTTCAATGACTGGTTTATTGGCGTGGTTATGATAGCATCAGCAACTTTTGCTCTACTTACGGCACCGTTTCTGGACCTAAACAGTCTAAAATGCATTGGATTTCTATGCTTCTCGCGGCGGCAGCCGTTGAGTATGGCGTGAACGCTGCTGCAACGCTTCGTTTCTCTTGTTCCCAGCTTGTTGTTGAACGTCTTGATCCGTAAGTCTATAATCAACTATCAGCCATAGAGCCAGCCTTACCTAACGATCTTTTGTTAGCCTTGTCAACCCTGGACAAATTCCATCGACCCACGTCCATCAAGTGGTTGGAGGGAATGCTTTCAACGTTACCATGGACCCGGCACGGGACGATGTAGCAACAACTGCCACATGTACATCATGTACTCCAGTGGAGGATTTCTCTAATTACTGGACTGCGGTGCTCTTCTACCGGTAAGGAAGCTAAGAACAATATCAAGCTATAATGCTAATGTCCCTAGTGCGAGGAACGGTACTTTTAAGCGTGTGAATACATTCGGAAACGAACTTGGCTTCACTGGGGCGAATGGTGGTCAGACTGTCTACTATCTCTCTAGTGGAAAGGTGACTGCGTTTAAACCTGGCTTCCGTATGACTGTCGGCGATCCAAACTTTCGCACCGCAGCTCAGCTGAATGCCAAGTACAAGTATATGGACTTCACTTGCTTGCAATCATCCATGACAAGAGGTGGCGCGACTACGAGCTTCCCGACAAAGGCCTGCCCGGCCGGAATCATGGTCAGCATTCGATTCCCGACCTGCTGGGATGGCAAGAATCTGGACAGCCCTAATCACCAAGACCACGTCGCTTACCCTAACGGGAACTCTTGTCCCTCTACACACCCTGTCACAGTTCCACAAGTATTCTACGAGACATACTGGGATACCAGGCCGTTCAACAACCAGAATGACTGGCCGACAGACGGGTCTCAACCATTTGTATGGTCTTTCGGTGACAAGACAGGTTATGGGATTCACGGTGATTACGTCTTCGGCTGGAAGGGCGACGCTCTGCAGCGAGCCATGGACAACAACTGCAACAGCGATCTCTTTTCCAACAGTATCAATTGCGCTACGCTAAAGACACAATCGCTTGCAGAAGCAAACAAGTGTACGAAGAAGGTTTCCGTTACGGAGCCGCTTGACGGATGGCTCACCGAACTACCAGGCGGCATGCTGGTCACCTAGATCCGGGATTTACAGCAGAGTTTGCTGACAAGTATTTGCAATGTCCTCTTCTTTAAACCTAGTCTGACTGTTGTTGCTGAGTGGGGCCCTGAATTTCCTCTTCCGTTGTAAATAGCGATATATCCAATGACAAATTAGTGACTTTATTCAATGCGACGAATCCGATCGGCTAGAGCTCGGTTGTCTAATTCTGGATAGTGCGTTTGTTAGATACTCTTCCACGGCATCAAGCTTGTCCAAGCTAAGCTACCTAAGGTAGGTAAGGTGGCCTAAATTTCCAGCCTGAGATAGCATAATAGTGGAGCCGCAAACCGTTTCCCGTTCTCCGGGCACATGGCGCGTGAACCTACATAAAGGGGCATGTAGCGATCAGAGTCCAGTCTGCTCTCTCCCCAAATCTCTCAAAATATTGATTCTCCTCTGATACCCATGAACTACAACCAATTTCGGAGAGTAGGGCTCAAAGAGAAGTATCGGAAATATGGAGGCAGCTGAACATTATACTTTCGTGAGGCAAGGAGGTAAGGCGACACCAACCTTGTCAAGTTGAAAAGCTAATTCTGGAGTAAACAGGATTCTACGACCGTATGTACTTTTTGTGGCATCGGCTAGGCCTGCAAAGTAATATATTGGTATCGGCTCGTTACGCAAATGTCAGAACGGGAGAAGGTCTGACCGAATCTGTGGTTTTGTCGGCACTTCATCAGACGGTCCAGGCACATCCAGGACTTGCTGCGGTTGCGGTGATCCAGCCGGCAAAGAAAAAAGGACGACATCAACTCGAACGTGTTATGTTGCATAGCATTGATCTCAGATCATGTGTCGAATTCATTGATGGTAATAAGGTCGCTGCCGATGCCGAGTTCTTCGAGAAGGTCCATAACCAATGGCTTTTCATGGACAATGAACCGAAACGGCCTTGGTGGAAGGTTCTTGTTTTGGATCGACGAGAAATCGTATTCGTCTTCCATCACTTTGTTTGTGATGGGAAGGCCGGTTATGAATTCCAGAGGACATTTCTCGAGGCTCTCAACTCATCAACGACCGCCGCTGTTTCTGATGCAATAGTTCGCTTCAACCCTGACAAGAACCCAATGCCACCGAATCCGATGGAGTTCAGCCCTATAAAGCTTTCGATCATGCGTGCCATATTCGGTGTCTTGTATTGGATGTTGATAAGATTCTTTTATGGGAGACGGCTGTTCTTCAGTGACTTCAAACCCCCCAAGCCATATCCGCCTATAACGACAGGCTGCGCAGACACATCGCAGCGAACAGTCACCAGGATTGCGGGCTATCGCATTTCGACCGCTAAAATGGCTGCAATATCCGACGCTTGTCGCAGAAATGACACCACCTTCTCGCCTCTCTTGACAATTGCGGCCACGGCAACACTCGCAAGCAAATTCTATCCAAGGGCAAAGCTTGGATTTGCTCACAATGCTCTGGACATACGCTCGTTGCTCCGCTATCCGGAGGGGGGAAATGGCGATCGTATCATTTGGAATGCGGCTGGTGGAGCTCTGGAGATGATTCCCCTGAGCAAAGTTCACGATGCTTTAAAGCCTTTAGCATTTACATCGAACAGAAAGCCGGAAGCCGCTTCTACGGCTGATAAAACAGGAGAACTTTGGAAATTAGTTAGGGATTATAAAAGGAGCTTAGAGAAGGAATTCACCGGCTCTCATCCTCCTGCCATACAGCTATGGTTATCAGGGAATATGCTAGGGCCATATCTAGAAGACATGGTTGAGAAGGCTTTCCCGTCCCTTGGACTTCAACAACAAAATTCAATTGCATTCTCAAACCTCGGCCGTTTTCCTACACCCAAACGTCCGTCTGGTAGTTTGGCGGATACACTGGTTGATGCATGGAAAATTGAAGAGGTACAATTCTCTACATGTATTACAGGAGGCTCTGTGAGTAATCACGGCTTAAGAATGAACATTGCGGGAATTGGAGGTGGTGACACTATTGTCAACATAGCTTGGGAGGATGAATTCGCGAGCAGAGCCATGGTCAATGACTTCTGGCAAAGCACTATGAAGCTGATAGATGTTATGTTACAGTCATGTAACAACAAGTAAATCATCATCTATAGGACAAGATCAAGAAAGCTCCTAATTGTGTATCACCGGCGCAAGTGATCATCCCACCCATTACGCATCCTGGCAGTTTCCAATACCATCCGAGACAATCAGACACCATGAGCAGTCGAGACCATTGACACTCAGATTCTGGCAGTACTCATCATTCGGGCAATTCTCCGACACGCAGCTGCTTTGCTTGGCCTCAATGATATTTCTCTGGCGAGGTTTTGAAGTCACTTGTCTTGATTTCTCCTGTGCTGCCCTGGCTTCTTTCATCATATTCACTTCATGTGATCGAGGGATTTTGCCTGAAAGTGATCTTGTTTCAACAGGGGCTGAATCAATTATGTTGAAATGCCCATCAAACGTCCTGACGACGTTGTCGGATCCTAAATGGGCAAACCCCTTGCCAGTCGGGTCGCGCTTCAGTGTTGCCAGCACATCATGAGGATTTCTCGCCTATCGGGTTATCAGTCTCAGGCTTATCAGGGCATATCTCGGTTTAAAAGGATACAGACTTGCTGAGACAACGGTGTCCCAGTCACGAACGTGGCAAGGGAAGCAGTGACGATGGTGATGAACTTCATTATGTTGATGACAGAGCTCGGCTTCGGATGTATTGCGTGTTTTTCTGCTAGTAGATAGGACCTTGGAAAGAGATGAAAACAAGCCTTTGGATCTGGTGAGCGCAGCGGACTTATATATCTGACGCCTACATGATTAGCATTCACTGAGTGCCAAATCTATTGCCCTTTACGTTGGAAATTCAACGTTGCATTTGCAATTTGCCTCATCTCGTGTCACATTATGGCTGTGAACCTCCAGCTGATGAATAGGGCTGATTCAGCTGAAAGGTGTGGACTACAATCTCCTCAATGTGGTGATCGACAATTGTATGCACAATATTATTGGGTACTCTTTTTCCCACCATCAGCTGTAGGATCGCCCATCATATTCCTCCGTACCGCAGGCGTGTCATCCGGTCCGATGATTCAATCTGTCGGAGCATCGGTAACGTTAGCAAATGTAGAACAGATTGCCGACTTATTATGAATATTCCCCAGATATAGCTCAGACGGCCTGTGTTTTGTTGCTTGCGGTGGCTTGCAGTTGGCTCAAACAGTTCAAGCAGTGTCGGATGGCAGCCACCAGTCCTCACTATGCATACTTGTTCATGTCTTAGCTTTTCCATGCGGGGATACGCGAGGCAGTTAGAGAGCTTTAGACAATCCGAAAATTTGGAGAGTACCTCATACTCTTAAGTTATATTATGTAGCCCTTCGTAACTACTGCCACGGGGCAGTTCAAGTGATGTTTTCAGCATCTAGTATAACATCCGCATCAGCTGGCGTTACTCACACTTAGTCTACAGGCTATTAGCTCCAGTGTGAAAAGGAATATCAATCTGCAACTACATACATGACACACGAAACACTACCGTGTCCCACACATAGATATCACGAGTATCTCATTTCAGGAAAGAATTTGGCTTTTTATCGCTTTAAGACACAGCTCAAGATCAATCCGCGACGGCTCGGCGTAGGTTTCATTATTTAGTCAACCAACCTGGTGCCCCGACCTTAGGCACTGGAACGGTAGCGAAGCCAATATGCAACCGCCTATGCACCGCAAACCCGTAGACTACCCTCCTCCGTCCGCATCACCGATGACGATCGCCTGCACATTCTTGGCCTCGCGGCAGACATGGTCGCCGCCGTCTCGCATGCACCCTTCCCCAGCTACGATGTCCGTGACCCCGAGCGGCGGTGGCGGCTCATCGCTGGCTTCTACCGGGAGTCGCTAGCTCTAGCACGGGAGGCGGTGGCCGATCCGGACCCGGAGGCCGCGCATTGGCGGACGCTGATTGCCAACCGACATGGGGTGGGGGTGGGCTCTCGACGGAGGATGCGGAGGTACCACTGTTACTTTGTCCGGGGGTCGCGGGCGGGGCAGTCGGCGGAGCAGAAGATACTGGCGGAAGAGTACTCGACGCATGTTCTCTGGGCTTGCAATCGCCGGAAGTTCTTCCGGAGTGTTGGGTGTCGGGTGGGGCTTGCGCATGATACGTGCCAGGTTGGCGATGTTGTCTATGTTTTTCAGGGGGCGGTGGTTCCACATTTGCTAAGGCGGAATATCGATGATAACACGGACACTTCGGCTACCTTTTCTTTTATTGGGGACTGCTACGTTCACGGATTGATGGATTCAGCCGTCGTGGGCGACTTCGACAAGGGAATGGAGCAGAGTCGAGAAGCAGCAGCACAGGCGCTTTCACCTCAGGCGGAAAACCACTAATATATAACCTTGTATTCAAAGTAAATGCAGAGCTAAGCTCTTTCTAGTTTGCTAAGATAGGTACTAGGCGGTAAAAAAGCGGGCGCTCTAGGTTCCATTCATCTGTGAGAGTTGCGTATGGCGTCGTTGAAGGTAGCTGTTATGCCCCGGAGGATCCAACCGGGAAACAGTCATAGCTCACAAAATTTCAACCTATCACCTATGCCAATCAATAGATCATCCCGCCTGATTAGCTTACAATAACGGTGTGATCGATTTACAATTGTCCAAGCACAGTCATCGGTGCTATGTCGTCTTAAAGATGATATTCCTGTGGATCTGAGACTGTAACTCCTCTCCTCACCCAGACTCCATCTATCCCCATGTCTAACTTTCCACTGTGGCAATGTCAGCTTGATGTCATTCGTGCCAGCAAAACGCACTTACTCTTCTCTTGGTCTACACATTGGCTCTGTTTCTCCTTCCTTGAGATCGGGATTCCTAAAGACAATGTTATGTTTCTGTGCAGTGTTAGCGCTTTCAATCTTCTAAATATCTCATAAATCACAATTAGATCGACCTACCAATCCCAGGGTCATATGTATTCCCGCTGGTCCAATTTCGAGTTTTTCTGCAGGCTCTTTCCCTTCAATCATAGCAAAGATGTTCTTGGCAGCTACTGCTGCCTGTCCAGCCCCTGGTCTCGCAGCTTTATGTGCGCCGGAGTCAGCAATATCCCCAACAGCATATAGATGAGGATACTGCGGATCCTTGAATTGCAATGTTGGGCGAACACGAATGAAGCCATTGGCAGGATTGATGATCGAATCTGGTTCGGAGGGCTTCAACTCGCTGAGGAATGCGTTGTTGGGCGTCTGTCCAGTGGCCAGAATTGCAAGCTCTGTAGACACTTTCCTGCCATCCTTGAGTTCTACCTCGAATGGGTTCCCGTCATTAGGAAATCCATCAGTGGGGACAATGACCCGCGTCCCAGCAATCAAACTAGTACACTACGTCAGTCTCAAATGTGAAATCAAAGAGTGGCTTGCAATTCATACTTTACACCCAACTCTGCAAAGCGCTCTTTGATAATATTGCTCAGCTTCTCGTTGTAGACTGGCATTAGCTGGTCGCGAGAGTGGATAAGAGTGACATTCTTGTCAGGATAGACCTCCTTTAGGTCACACGCCATTTGAACACCAACTGCACCACCACCGACAATGACAATGGTTTGGGCTTTTTTCACACCGGCCTGATACTGCTTGAAATAATCAATAGAGGGAAGTTTCTCATCGCTCTGCATTGATCCAGGGGCTGGAAGGCGCGTGCCCGTGGCGGCCACGAGATAATCAAATGGAATTGCCTTTGAGCCTTGCCATTCCCGATCAAGAATTATCTGGGTGGGTTGCGCCGATAACACTCTTGCTTTCACAACGGTATGCTGACTCGGGTTAGGTGCCGCGGAGAAGACTCCCGTGTAGGGGATGAATGCTTTATGCTCATAGTTCGGTACTATAGCAAACCTCGGCTTTGATACGTTAGGGAAATGGATCAAAGCCAGTAGGCAAGGTTTTGCTGATCAGCTTACGAATGCGAAGAGATGATGGAAATGGCTATGTGGCTCAACAAGTAGGACCTATTGTGGATGTTAGTCATTAATGTGTGTCCCATATCATCTCAAAAGCCCCTACACGATGAGTCGCTGGAAGTACATTCGCCAACTCTTTCGCCGCCATCTAAATAAGTCAGCTCGAGCCTTTCAGGATGAATCCGTACTGGTCGCGCAACTTACAACTCCTACATATGAGCCTCCAACCACTACAACGTTTCTGAGAGCCATAGTCGTATTTGTTTGTTTGGAATTTTTGTGAGTAAAATATGAGCGCTGAGGATGACAACGAATGTACCGATAAGCCACAGCCAATGGCGCATGTGCTACCTACAAGAAGAAATACCTGTTCAAATTCGATGATCAGATAAGATCAAAGGTGAGCGTTTTAAAGACCAAAGTGATGTTACATATGCACTCGGAGATTGCAAGGCTAGTAATCGGTCACCGAGACGGGAGGTGGCGGGCTCCACCGTGGCGTGCCTCCGGAGGTTGTTCGCGGCAGTCGTTGACTCGTTAAGCGGCGGCTTATTAGGAAATGACCGAACTGCGGGAGATCTTCGTATCTAAGCTTAGTATGAATGCAAGCCATTCCCACACGGATATACGGATATACGAATTACACCCAAGCGTTTACTAGTCGCCTACAAAAACATTTACGCAACATCTCAAGCTGCACCTTACCTCGGCTTCGGCTTTTTCGATGGGTTTGGCGCAGAGCCTGTCAAACAGAATTCGTTAAGCCCTCACTTGTTGGTACTGTCGTAGGAGCATTGATCAACTTGATTTAGGGGTTCTATTTAATTGACACTCATTTTAGTCATTCCTCGACGACAGACAATCCTATACAACAAGTCATTGTCACGTCAGTCAAATGCCTCGCGAATTTATCAGGACTTCCCGATAGAGAGGATCGCATCTTCATGCATTAGATCATCGCCAGTCAGCCATTCCGCCATTGAATGGTCATTTAGTAAGAAATCGGGCCAAGAAGAGTCGTCCATTTCCCAGTTAAAATCAGGCATGCCCTCGGCGTTCATAAACCCTGGTATCTCGAGTTGACCTGCACCTCTGTCGCTGAATGTATTTTGTAACCTTTTACTTGGGAATTTATCGCGCAAAACGGAGATAAAGCGCGGTATTGGCAATACCGGTAGAAATTGTGATCTCGCTGATTCGCGGGCGTTCCATGCTTTGAGGGTTAAATTGGCAATAGCCAGACGCAATGGGTTAGATTTCCTAGAGTTGTCCCATGTGCCATGCCTCTCACGGTTTTCAGCGTGGTCCGCAATTTGAGTCCATGCTCTGTCGGCCAAATCGTCATGTGTCCTGGTGCGCAATCCGCACAGCAAGTAAAGGTAGGCTGGAAAAGGGGGGTTTGTGAAGGAATACCAGACAAATTTCTGAACATTTGTCATGGCAAGCATAGTGTTATGGAACTCCAACACCCTCAAGCAAGCAGAGAATACAATATCTCGATCGTTTTGAGGTATCTCGCGCCGAAGATCCGGTATCAACTGCGGAGTGAACACGCCCGATCGTAGTTTCCATATCTCCAATCGCGCCATCAAGTTTGAAATTGAGTGTAACGGAGCTGATGGATCACAATGCTTAAGATATTTGCTTTCGAGGTGCTTTTCAAACGCATCGATTGCCTTGTTCTTCGCATCCATTGACGAACCCCGCGTTGCTTGAAGGCTTCTGATAAACTCAAATACTTCGCATCGCAATGAGACGAATAACATATCGGTTGGCCTTCCTGACTCCACGGGGATATCCCGCATTCCCACGAAAAGGTCATTATCGTTCACATTGGACGGGAACAGAGTGGTCCAAGAATAAGAAGATGGAAAACCAGAGGTTCCAGAGACCACAGCAATTCGATGATCGAGAATTAGTATTTGCCACCATAGTCGTCGGCGCATTTCAGCCTCGAATGGAGGAATTCCAAGGCTAGTACCGTCCCTATGAAGGCCCATTCTCTGTGCGACACGCACGGCTATACCTGCCATGCAAAAGAGTGAGCGTGGATCGGAACCACCTTGGGAGTTTGAGAGCTAAATCAGCCACAAGACATGTCAGCATTTGATCAGATCATATCTTGGGTCAGTCTTACTAGGTACAAAAAAAAGGCTTGGAGAGTTACGAGGTCGGAAGACCTAAGCAAGGCCGCATTCTTTAGGGCCTTCCTGGCTCCGGTATGATATTGGGCCAGGAGAAACTCCCTTTCTTTGCCGAAGAGAGAAATACACTCTTCATCATCGATTGATGTAATGGACATCGAGTATATTCCAAACATCAAGGCTTCTATAGTTTTAGAGACGCGGGCGAGATCTGCACTAGCATCAAGAATCTGTTGTTGCATTGTTGGTGCATGAAGAATCTTGATCAACGGATTGACGTTGTCAAGAAAAATTTGCCATAATCTGAATATGTGGAATGGTGGAGGATGAAGTTCAGACAAGTTCCTTTGCTCTTGTTCGCCGAATATAAGGTCGTATTCCTCAGCGGCAGCCTCTCGACTACTGAACGATTTTGTGATTGGCGTCTCAAATGAGTCGTCGTCAGAAGAGCCCTGTAAGATTTCTTCTGACTCATGAAACTAATGAAGTGAGTATCTATGTCCCGAAGATGGCATTGTGATCATTGTAACAATGCAAAGATCGGCTGCCTACATGATCACTTAAAAAGTTGCCACTAACACAGTGTTAGCCAGATGGTTTTGATTTTCACTTGTGAATTTGACTTACTTCAGCAGCTTCCCTGGCGACCTCTCGACGGAAACTGACGGGCGTACATGGCGCGCGGTAGCCTCGGTGGAGCTTTTCTCGGATTGGGGATCTGTGGTGCTACGGCCAATGGCATCGGCATCAAGCCCGTTCTCCTTGAAATAGGTCTCATATCTTCGCAGGCGTGCAAGCAATTCGGCTTCTGGGAACCTTTTTTTACGCTTAAGCGGCAGATCTTTTTTTGGCATGACACAATTCGCGCGGAACTTAACACAATTGGAACATGGCGTATTCCTGTCACACTTAACCTTGCGTTGTTGACATAGGAGGCACGGGTGTTTGCGAGGGGCCGGGATCAGCGTCCTCGAGTCGGACGCATGTGGTATAAACGGCGTCGTTGATAACTCGGCCGCGATCGGTTCGGAGGTCGACATTGTGTGGCAATGATGGAATATGCAGCGTTCCAGCGTAGAGGAAGAGACAATGGCGACTGATATAAGGGAGGAACAGCTATGGTGCCGGGAGATGTCTGCTAGCGTCGGAAAATAGATCCTTCCGAGTGGTCATCCGGGAGTGGGTCCGCTGACTTGCTCGCCGACGCCGGTTGCCGACACCATCTAAACATTGTGTAAGTTTTGTCCGGCGTATGGCTCGTCTCTTATTGCGCTCTCCCGATCCTAAAGAGCGCTTGACCGAGCGTTTGTAATTGCGAGGATATGAGGAAGCTTATAAAAATGAAACGTTTTCTTTGTAGGGTGCTGGTCATCCTCTTCCTCCTGCATCATTTTCCATCTGCTATAACACTTGAACTTGCACATTTCTCTTACACATACAATCATGGCATCTACAGAAAACATACAACAACATACTGCCTCGAGCATAATGGAACCTGACGGCAATACCCGAAAACTTGATGCCAAGCCACCCCCCTTACAAGCAGCCTCTCCTACAGAGGAGATAGAATATCGTGGTGGCATGGCAGTTGCACTGGTCATGGCTTCGGTATGGCTCGCGTTCTTCCTTGTAGCGTTGGTGAGTAAGGCGTTATACCATAGCTGTCTAACTTCCCCATTCACCCACTCATTTACCTTACAGGACCGAACAATCCTTGCCACCGCAGTTCCTCGTATCACGGATCAATTCAATTCACTGAATGATGTCGGCTGGTATGCTAGCGCATACATGCTGACAGGCTGCTCTGCTCAGCTTCTCTATGGCCGAATCTACAAGTTTTATCCACCAAAATGGGTCTTTTTGGTGTCTATCACCTTGTTTGAGCTTGGTTCGCTTGTTTGCGGCACTGCTCCGAATTCTATCGCCCTTATCATTGGCCGCGCTATCGCTGGACTGGGTGCTGCTGGCATTATGTCTGGTGGCATGATGGTTATGGTTCATACAGTGCCCTTGCATAAAAGACCAATCTACGCAGGCTTGTTTGGTGCAACTTTTGGAGTTGCCAGTGTTGTTGGGCCTCTGCTCGGCGGAGCTTTCACGGATAAATTGACATGGAGATGTAAATGCAAACCCCCTTGTTGACCAAACAGTAACTAAATTTTCTCAAGGGTGCTTTTATATCAACTTACCCATTGGTGGGGTCGCCATATTCGGTGTCATCATCATGCTCAAGCTGCCTGCACCAAAAGACAAAGTGTCCCTCAGGCGACAGATTGCTCAGCTTGACCCTCTTGGCACTGTTGTCTTTCTCCCTAGTATAGTCTGCCTCCTGCTAGCCTTGCAATGGGGAGGGACGACGTACGCCTGGAGCTCAGGTCGTATTATTGGCCTCCTTGTCGTCTTCTCGGTTACCATAATTGCTTTTGCAGCCATTCAAATATGGAAGAAAGAGGCTGCTATAGTGCCGCCTCACATATTGACCAAACGGACCATCGCCTCTGGAGCTTGGTTCACTCTCACATGCACAGCTTCCATGACGCTCATGGTGTACTTCCTTCCAATCTGGTTCCAAACCGTCAAAGGCTCCACAGCCCTCCATTCGGGCATACAGCTAATACCATTAGTTCTTTCTGTGCTCGTTGCCAGTATTATATCTGGTAAGCTGACACAGAGAATTGGATACTACGTGCCAGCAATGTTCTTTGCCGCTGTTGTTGCCCCTATTGGTGCTGGGTTACTCACGACCCTGCACCCGGACAGTGGCCACTCGAGATGGATCGCGTACCAATTCCTATATGGTATTGGACTAGGCGCAAGCGTGCAGTCAGCATTACTCGCCGCGCAAGCCACTCTGCCCCTGTCCGATGTTGCCATCGGCACAGCCATTATCAACTTCTCGCAGCAGTTTGGCGGCGCGCTGTTTGTCTCAGTGGGAGAGAACGTTTTCCTCAACAACCTTGCCTCCGGACTCAAGACCATTCCTGGATTGGATGTGACGAGTGTCTTGAATACTGGCGCCACGGAGCTACGAGATACTGTGCCAGCACAGTACTTAGAGAAGGTTGTGTCGACATATAATGACGCGCTAATGAAGACAATGACTGTCGCTGCGGCCATGAGCGCATTGTCGATTCTTGGCGTAGTGTGTGTTGAGTGGAAGGACATCAGGAAAAAACAAAAGGACGTGGAAAGACCCGTGCAGGATGTGGAAAAGGCTGTTGGTGACGCAGGCAACGCCTGAGGCCAGAAATTTGGGGTTACAGTTGCGACCATTGTCCTCAGAAACCAGCTCGAACCCACAGAGGACGAGAATAAAGGGATGGGAATGGCGAGCACATCGGTCACCATCTCTTTGCATAACCTTTCCTTGGCTTGGGATGTGACCCCTCATGATTCGGTGGCATTAATTGGGGTGCTTCTGATTGTGAGTACGGATGTTAGCTATGTAATATTTAAAACTTAACCGCCCCCATTACAAGGCTCCTCGGCTTCAACTTCATAAAAATTTATTTGTAAATAAATTTCCGTGTATAGTATATTGATGGATATTTGGAGAGAGGTCTTACTTTAGTTTCATGCCGTTTGGTTAGTTGGACAGATGGACTAAGATTTCTTATTCCAAAAACTCACGAGTCTTATTCTCATCACGGGTCTCATGAACTACCTGCAGTCCCTTTGTCTGTCCTCAGATAAACTCTAATATCTGGAATGTTCAATCAGTAGCCGAGATGATAGTAGAGATCACCGGGAATTGGAACCGCCGTAATGGCAGCTACAGGTTTGTACGCTATGTCGGCCTAGATCTGAGGCTTCATCTTGAGGTCTTTCCCGAATGGTGCACCCATGTCAAAAAGGTCATATACTTGAATTGATACCATTATTAACCTATGAGTACACCTACTATGTCTATTTACTACTATTCACAACTCCGCAACTACTATTGACACCCAACGAATACGCCGGATAGACGTTACAACCCCGGCAAGTCCTGCCTCATGACCCATCATCATCCTTGACAACCGGCTTTTGGGCAAACCAGAAGTAGTAGTTGAAGTATCGATGAACGCTTGAGTCCTCAAGCCCTCTGCGGGCGTGTGCCAAGGTCACTTGGCTCTCCACCTGGGACAGGCCAAGGGCCGCGAACGGGCGGCCGGCCAGTGCCGGCATGAGATCAAGGACGGCCATTTTTTGATAGAGTCCTATGAGCCTCATGGTTTTATCCTTTGCCCAGACTCCGATAGGAACCTTTTTCACAATGCATTGTATGTTCTCGAATCCGGCTTCGCGAAGTTGGGGCTCGAGGTCCTTTGCCATGGTAACATTTGCTCCAAACTTCGCGAAGGCTCTATTAGCCAGATCATACATATGCTTGACCGGATCATCGTCTGGCATGGTGCAATCATCACATAAAGGTTCGGCGCAGAGCTCTTGTAGTTCTATCCATCCTCCGGGTTTTAGAGCTCTAGCAGTTGGTGAATCTCCGTTAGCTCTGGAACAGGGATTGAACAGATACAAGGACCAGGGCATGACAGAGGCAGTGGGTCTTACTGATAAGCATTCCCTAACACAGTACTAACAGCCTTCAAGATAATAACCATGAACCTAAAATGAACAAAATCGCAGTCTCGGGTTAGAAAGTCCTTCTCACAATCATCGACCAAGAAATCGACATTCGGGGGTACCCAGATGGGTTGGATGGGCGCCAGGTCGACACCCCGGACACGCGCGCTCGGGAACTGGTCTCCCACTAGCACGTTATCAGATGTCTATGATGGCATTCAGGATGAAGGCAGTGAGACCAACCATCGATAGCCCAAATACCTATTGCATCAGTATGCCTTGTCAGACCGTGTCCCTATCTAATGATATATTCAGGCCAACGCTACGCACCTGTTCCCGTCCCGACATCGAGAATCTGCTGGGGATTGTCGCCAATCGGAGCGTAAAACAGCTCTCCGTCCATAAGTTCCAACAACATAGCATGCTTCATGTCTTCACGATTTTGTTCTTCGCCATCGTTGGGAATAGGGTATCGTCCATTCTTGAAATGATGATATCGGCGGCCGTGTTCGTATGTATGAGCATAGATGCTAGATGTGGCACTCGTGGACCCTGTTGATCTCGTATCATAGCCTTCAATAATGTCAAATTCGTCTTCTTCGCCCGGTTCGCTCGCCGCTTCGAGTGGCGCTGCGGGGTTTGGAGGCAATGCGTCGCCTTCGTCGCCTGGTTTGTCGCTTTCGCACATGGAAGCGCCACTGTTCTCGACTCGAAGGAGCAGAACAGACCCGTAGATTGAAGGCTAAGCGGGCAGGACGCGTCTATAGGTTTACGGCTTTCGAAAGCTCGTCGCGCGGGCCGTTCCGAAGCGATCGTGCACTAATGAGTGAGGCTAAGGTGCGCTTATCGAGATCTAGATCATGCCACCTGCTTGCGACGTGCTAATTAATTTCTCCAGCGACTGCGGCATTTGATCAGCGGGAGGGGAGAAACTCGTGTCTCCGTAAGCCGCGGAGTAGTTGCTCCGATAGAACAGGGCGCCAATCGACCGGACTTTGGTTGAGTTGCCTCATTGGACCAGAAATGTAACCAGAAGTTGGTCTACCATAGCCAAATCTTTCACCTGTCATAACGACTTCATTCTAGCTCTGTTTCCAGTACTTCTTCGAAAGCAGTATCATGTCAACCAGATTTGGTTATTGGATGAATCAAAACCTAGTTAATGGCGTACCATCGGCAAACTGGAGCAATTGAATGAACACTTGCACCAAGCGCCCAATTCTTCCATACCATGCCCAGTGGAAGGGGTCCGAAGCCCTCAAATACTAGCATCAACCTGTCTTTTATTGAAGAGATATTATATCTGTCCTCGAGTGAGGGTCAAAGTAGCTGCCCATAAGTATACGGCTAGTGACTGTGAAAAGTCTAGGTTGGCCCCGGGTGGATGTTTGACCTTGCGAACATGGCAGCCCAGACCCGCCGGAGTTTACAAGATCATATTAGTTCAGAAACTCAATCCGTTACAATCTAATGACTGTGCTACGCTGACTCAATTGCAAATAGAACTTGTTCTTTAGTAGCATCGAATCTAGCTATGGTAGTGGATGTATTAAGACCATTTGAATTGCGAGAAGTCTGTTGTCACTGTCGAGAATGATAATGTGCTCCAGGTGTTTTCCGATCCTAACGCGATCCTCAAATATTTCTATATCGTCTGTGATTTCGAAGCGTCACTTACGCCTTTGAATGTGCGATCAGCATCACTATTGGCTTGGCACTGCCCCTGATCTGTTTGAACTAGTCTCGAAGTCCGAAACTACGACGCCTACGGTCTATCGTAGCTAGGCTGCACTATCTCTGTATAAATATAGCAGGCTACTCGAGTCAATATCGGGACATCTACGAAAAATATCAGACTCATCGTCTAGAACGCTGCACTGCAAACTCGTCATATCGAAGTGACTGAATATGCTGTGCTCTACTAGATTCGTGCTGCATGTTCGCATTGTAACTCTTGTTGGTAAGTTGGCCTTCGCAATACTTTTATATTTGCAGTATTATGGCTAAAGCTAGGATTTTCTGCATTGAGGTGTCGTTGGTCGAGATGTTGAAATGCTACATTCTGGTGTGGAGGAAGATTGGTGGTGGCAGTGCTGCTCACATGGCTAGCTTCTCACGCCTCTTATGTATGGCGTCGGAGAACCACACGAGACTTGACTAACTAGCGTAGTCGACTTGGTCATAGGTCAGCACTGAGGCACTGGGTGTGAATTGAATCTCTCTTTTGACTGGCTCCTTTTGTTTACTTGGCATTATTGCCAACATGACGATAACTGGCGCATGGCCTTCAGCCGCTTGCGGCTGGATCTCTAAGTCCGATGGTGCCAGGTGAATTACCATATTATATAAATGGCAAGGAGACCTCGCTACTGCCCTCAAATTTCTCATAGTTCTTGCCTATGCCAAATAACCAGCGGCCTGACTTCTGTTTGGTTCTGTTGCCAAATGCTGGTTGTCACCTTTCCATCCTTGTCATATGGAAAGTTGAATATACAGCTTCTAGTTCAAGCCGTACCATCCAGTTCTCCTGTTCTAAGGTGTGGTCACACTCTGGTACGAGCTTGTGGAGCTGACCATGTCCGGGTCTGATTTGAAAGACCTCGTCGGGGTCCTCGAGCGACTTCGTGAGGCAATAGATCTGACTTCCCCGCTCTTCACTCGCCGCTCAACCGGTATCGAGATCACTCAGTCAGTGCAATACTATCATTCGGCCTCTCATCTCACCGACACAAACGACCGGGCATCAGACAATGCAGTGACCCCTGTCGCGTACAAGCCGGCCGTAGTACGCGCCTACGTGAGACCAGGATTCGGCCTCCCGAGTGACGCGCCTGTCGGCGGCACGCTCAAGGTCGAACGCAAATCAGGAATCATTGGACCGTGGAGAGAGGTCAGGACCCTCTCGCCCTGGCGGGCTCCCACGGTGACGCCCTTGGACGACACTTACGCCGATGAGCGCGGAACCTTCCTGAATTCTCTGAATTTCCGCATCGACGCAGCCGACTTCGCGGGAAACATGCGGCTGACTCTCCAGCTGGATACAGGTGAGACCCGCACGACAAACGTGACGGCTTACCTCGTCCAAGCCCTTCGAGTGCGCGTGATTCTGGTCTCATACCAAGGACCAAGTACGGCGAATCCCGCGCCAGGCACCACGCCGCCGACACTAAACCTCGCCGCACCAACTCTGGCCGATGCGCAGGCAACGGCCAGCACCGCCTTCCGGATGATGCCCGTGCAGCAGACGGGGTCGTTCGCCGTAGCCGGCACCCTGACCTGGCAGCTGCCGCTCGACGATGCCGTCGGTGGAGCGGGCGGCTGCTCGGCAAACTGGAACTCCCTCCTCGCGAGCCTCGACAAAATTCGCCAGGCCGACGGCAACCGTGCTGATGTGGTGTACTACGGGCTGCTCCCTGTGGGCATTCCGGTAGGCGGAGTGGTTGGTTGCGGGAGTGGCGGGCTCGGCACCGCGGCATCGGGCAATGCTCGGACATTTGTACACGAGATCGGACATGGCTACGGCTTCGCCCACACACCGTCCGGCAACGTGGGGACACCGGACCCCAACTACCCTGTGTATGAGCCTTATCCATCCGCCTCCATTGGCGAGTACGGCTGCGACATCCAGGACGGGACTGTGTACTCCCCGGCCGTCTTCAGGGACTATATGAGTTACGCGGCCAACCGCTGGATGTCATTATACCAGCACGCCAGGCTAATCGATCACCCCCGCCTGGCACCATACTACATCAGAGAGCGGAATCCACTCGACGACATCCCCATCCTCATTGACCCAAAACCCTGGTGGTGGCCCGACCCGCCAGGCCCGGACCCGCCTCCGTGGGAACAGGAAGACTTTGGCAGGTACAAGCTCAACCCTGTCATCTCGGTGCGCGGCGCCATCGACGAGCTGGGCGGAGTCAGCGTTGATTCGGTGGCCCGCGTCAATGCGACGCAGATCCAGCACGGGCCCGAGATAAGCTGGAACGCACTGCTTGTGGGAGCGGCCGGCGACGTCGCCTCCCGAGCACGCCTGACGCGCATCATCAGTCACGGTGGTGGGTGCGGTTGCGGTTGCAGTGGCTCCGGGTCCGGCTCTAAGACAGGCAAGGACGACCCCGACCGATTGCCGCTCGAGTTCGTTGCCATGCTCCCGAATACCGAGCTAGGCACAAACCTGCAGATCCTCGATCGAGGGGGCAAGGAGGCGTGGACGCGAAGTGCCCCTGATGAGCTTGTGTGCTTTGCCAAGGTAGAGGCAAAGCTCGTCAATGAGACTGTTGTTAGGCTCGACTGGGACCTCGACGCCGGTGAGGCTACCGACATCTGGGCGCAGTACAGCTCTGACGAGGGGAAGACATGGCACGGACTGACGGTAGGGTTGTGTGGCGGATCGGCAGAGGTGGACGCTTCCGGTGTGCCAGCGGGTCTGGCGCTGCTGCGGCTCCTGGCGCACGACGGCTTCTCCACCGCGACTTCGGATCCGGTGAATATCAAGGTTCCTGAGCGCGCGCCGTACCCTGCCATTCTATATCCAGTCGAGGACGAGGTTGTGGCGGCGAATACCGAGTTCGAGGTGCTCGGGAGCGCGGTCGATCAGGGTGGTATCCCTATCGATGACGAGAGACTGGAATGGCTCCTTGATGGGCAGCCACTTAAACTCCGCGGGCGTGCCGTCAAGGTGCTAGCCAAGGAGGGCAGCCATAAACTCACTCTGCGTGCCATCGCCAAACACAACAGTGAGACGACCGTTGCCTTTAGTGCCCGGGACATCAGGCGCTCGGTCGGAGGATAGCCCATCGCTGACATCGATTGGGCGAAGGAACTTAGATTGTAATCACAGATATAGCCCTCCGATGTAGTCTACAGATAAGACACGATGCTGCCGAATTTTGCTCTTGCCTACTTCTCGATCTGCTGATTGCCGGTGCTGCTACTACCTCAACTAATACATTCCGGGCGTGCTATGCGTGTGCTATGGGTGTAAGCCGAATTGGCAGCCGTATTCTACCACCGAACAGAGTTGTTGCATATCTTCATGCTCCTCGGCAGCCTGCTGCTCAGCGTGTACAATCACTCGATCATCTGGGCTCAGAGGCACAAAACTCCTCGTAAAACACCTTCACTGTATCATATCGGCGTGAGTCCAGTGGCATACTATGATTGAAGCTGCCCAATCGAGAATCGACATTCCTGCCGTCGCCTCACCTGTACCCATGAACGTCATCTATGGCCAGTCATCCGCCGTGACGCTCACTCCAGTACTCTGGACTCGATAATTTGAGCGATAAGGCATCATGTTTGGCGTCGAGCTCACCTAGCTCCTGTGCCTTCTTCAGCAAATCGATGATTTGCTCGCAGTCGCCCCAAATCCGCGCGCGGTTTCGCACCCCTTTGAAATCGGGTTGTAGGAGGGCTAAATATTTGCCATATGCGTACCCAATCTGAGTTTCCCACATCATGACTGGCGCTTGGTATATCTGGTAAGTGACGTCCCTACGTCTCTACCCCGGCGCGGAAGTCTTGCCATTCGCGAAGGGACGCCTCCTGTCTCGCGCGGTACGGGCCAAATATCTCCTCGCGGCGCAAGTCGTTGAGTGCCTTCACTGCATTGCCTGCTCCTTCCATCTCGGGATCATCAGCGATGATCTGCGCCCAAAGGGAGTCTTCAGCTTCTTTGCTCTCAAGACCGACCGGAAGTAAGGGAGGCGTCAGGCAAGGTGGGCAGAGCGGATCCCAAGTCGCTGGCCAGTCTGGCGACGGCGGATATTGGTCATCTTCGAAAAGCTCCCATAACCAGCCCATGTTTCTGGTGATGTATAACTTGCAAAATGACTGCGCACGCTTGTGTAGTCCCCGGCAGGTATTTGCCACGGCGCTCACGTCGGATAAATCGAGATGATAAAGGATACAATCAATGATTTCGGCAGGGAGCGCGAGGAGCTGAGATTGAGGAATACGGACTTGATCTTCACCGATATTGCAGCTCCTACAAGAACTTAGAGCCTTACTAAGGCCCAAAATCTCAACAGGGTTTGCAACAAGCCACTCGTCCCCCGGAAGGTGGTGCCAGGGGTGATCCATATACTCACGGCCTCGTTCGACCTCCTGCCGCCGCAGCGTGCCTGCCTCCCCAAGACCATAAGAGGCAGGTTCACACTGTATGCTGCGCCAGTGGAAAAGCCCGTCCAGGTCGATACGGCCTAGCCGACGGTGTGATGCCTTTGCATATATGTCAAGGCAGTAGGAATGTACTGGGATCGGGTACACTGTTTCATATCCCTTGCAATGGTCAGAGATAATTCCCATAGCACAGCACGGCAGGTGACTTACATAGTCCAAATTCAGGGAATCACAACTTACTGTTGTTTGGCGCACTCCGTGCCGTCCCGGGTAGAAGTATCGGTACATATAAGCAGCCGAGCCATTCGATTCTCCTGAGAGATAGAACAGATTACCCTCTTCAAAATATTGTCGGTAACCTCTGTTAACCTCCAGTTCAAGGGCTTTGGAAACAAGAAGCGGTGGTTACGGCAGTTCTTCATTTCTGCCACGCCCAGCACATGCCCATTGATACCTTGCAGGCTCTGGCACGAGGGCGAAGCGATGTGCTCCGGTGGCGCCCTTGGTCCTCGAAAAGCCCATTCGAAATCTTCTACATCTTGACAGCTTTCTGGGCCTCTATAAAATATCAGTCCGTCGCGCCAAGTACCGTGAGGTTGTCGCTCAGGCCGCTCAGGCTTGTAGATCTCAGATAGAGGATATTTTGTGTTTGTGTCATCGAGCCAGCTATCTTGATTGCTGTGGCTCGGGTCAAGCCCCTTATCAAAACCTTTCGCCGAACTGTCGTCAGACCCTTGGGCTTCCGAGCTGTATTCAAGTGGCTCGCTGTCGCTCTGAGAAGAGTCATCCAGCAGCCACTCGCCATCGTCCTCATCCTCGTGGTCTAGCCACAGGTTTGAATATTCTGCTGTGCCGATTTCAGCCGGAGTGCGATCTGCGGTGATGCAGTCCCGGCACTCCCGATCTGGAAATTCAACTCCGTTGTAGTCCAGAAATCTGGAGAAGCCTACATAGTTGACACCACGCCAGTTCCAAGCCGCACTCGGTGGCTCGTCGGGAGTGCGAATGCGCGCAGTGGCCATGTCCATGCCACATATCTGGCAGCTGAAAGAATCGTCCATAATGACTAAGCCAAGCCACTTGCTGTCTTCCTAATCAACACTACACCATCTATGCTTGCCTTTTCCAACTTGAAGATCAAGAAGGAGGTAGAGCACTGCCGAGTTGTTAAGGGGAGCGGTGAAGTACTAATTTCCTTGCGAACGAGATGAAAAGTGCGCACCTAAGCAGTCCGTATCTTTGATTAGTGTCCAACGCGGCCTTGATTGCCATTCACTACCAACCACACAATGATCTAAGACGTTCAACCTTGCTGATAAAGGTCTAGCAAGTAGCTCGAACTTTAGACTAGCGCAGGAACAAAACACAAACAGGCGCTCATCACAACCTCGATTCCACGTGGCTTTTCCTCCCCTACCTAGCTAGCCTACTCCCGACAATGACAGGGGCGCTGTCACACAACACACGACAGTCATGAGCCTGGGGTAGCCTCTCATGCGAGCCCAGGACAAGTTTTCGTTCCAGCTTTGTTTACTGGGGCTGTTAGGCTGTAGCATGAGAAGCGTGTACATCTCCACTCTAAGTCAACCATGAGTACTCCAGCCAGAAATCACAGGCAGGCCCAGCTCAAGCCGTGCTATCCGTCCACGATCCTCTCCGATAACGTGGCAGCCCAACTATCCTACCTGCTAACTCAGCCGACCCCTCTCTATGCTCCTTGTCCTTGTTGAAACCCGACTTACTATTCTTGTGGTTCTGGCCGCTATGGCTCTGTACATGCTCTACCAGGTGCCGTCATTGCTAGACAGAAACGTCCCCCGCCTTAGGGCTGAATGCCTCGGGCCGCATCCAGAACTGTCTGGGCCAAATCTTGTAGGTGGAATGGGGCGAAAGGGAAATCCATGTCGGCACCTATGCTTGCTTCCAGGCTGGCCAAATACAGCTCGTCCGTTACTGCACGACTTGTGTCGTCAAGGAACCGTTGATCCTTTGAGCCTAGAATAAGGAGTGCCATAGCAGTAGACCATCGAGTGACCTCATCAGCCCCATTCGTTTTACAATTGTCCTCGTAGATATTCTGGAGTTGGCCATGAATGCTCGCGTGCTCCGGCTTGTGATCCAGCGCCGCATGAAGGACCGCAAGAGCCAGCACAGCGGTGCCACGAATTGCACAATTAGCCTCTCGATTGAACAGATCAAAGAGACGCCTCGTGATGTTCTCCAGTTCCCGTGGAAAGAAAGCCAAACAATATGCCGCGGTTGCCCTAATGTCGGGTGACCTGTCATCTAAACAATCAATGATCGACTGTATTCCTCGCTCGACGGCTTCATATGTTTTGAATTCATTCAATGCGTTTCGAACTCTGGGCTCAGTGTGTAGGGATTGGAAAGCGTCGAGTTCGCGTCTCTTCCGTTCATTGTCGTCTGCAGCCTCCGCAATCCATTCATCAGACTCTTGCTTCTTACGGGTACAGTATCCTGGCTCTTGTATCTCGGAAATTCGCGTCTGCCACTTCACCAAGTCAATCCCGCTAGTGATCTGCGAGGATGGATTGCCGACAGCGAGAAGCAAGAGCAGATCTATCAGAAATCCTCTAGACCTGGTTTCCTTATTCTTAAGCAATGCATACAGGAAGGGCACGGCTTCGACTGAAGCACTGTAGCGCGTGCCCTGGTGATAGATATTGCTCAGTAGTTCGTCGCCGGCAGTCATGTAAACCTCTGGGTCTGTGGATTGTAAGTCTCTCAAGATTTCCGGAACGTCGTCGGCGGGGCCGTATGCGTGAGAAAGGTGAGACCAGTCAATGGACTCAAGTCCGACCAGGAGATCTCCAGTTGGGACGGACATGCTCGGCTAGTATAAATTCGTTTGCGAACAAATGTGTAACGAGGATTTGAAAGACATTTAATTGAAACAACCAGCGTTCAAAAGTTTCGACACATGTCTATAATTCTCTGCCAAACCAGATGTCATGAACAGTCTGCATTCTCGTCTAATTTATCCCAAAAAGGAGGCTAAATCCTATAGCTAGGTCTAGGCATCCCCCACTAGAGGCAGGAGAGACCCACACTTCCCCGACTGCCTCAATTCCACCGCAATTTTGTACATCAATATCGTGCAATCATGTTCTCTTCGCATTTTGAAATGCTTTCACACACTGAGAAAGCCGTGGCCAGTCAGGCGAAACATGATTCTCAAACCTCTAGGGACCAATTTCTCTTTTTCTTATAAGTGGGCAAAGGGACAACGCGTCTCGGCGCCGCCCATCGCGCTGCATCAAGTTGGGGATTTAAGGGCATAGATATCAGCCCACTCAACATCGACCGGGAAATAACAGACTTGAGCAAGTAATTTGCCCTAAAGTGAGCGTACGGATGAGATACTTCTGCATGTCTAGAGAAAAGAAGGACATATAGGACTCGGATTTCAGGCCGACCTACCGTGGCCTTGCTTTAACATCAGCATCCTCCCCACAGTCTCAAGGTCTATTGAATTTTCAGCTTCCTTCAGAGACTGAGTCACTGCCTTAGCTCCCCTTCCAATCATCTCCTCATCATAAGTCTTGATGGCTTCATCTCTTATGGACGAGTTGCTACCAGATTCTTTGACTTTGAGCATGGCATCTAAATAGTTGCTGGCATCAGTGATGGCATGTTGGAAGCCTTGTCCAC